GATGTATGACGCTTTGTTTCTTTGAATTTGTTTTTTTTTTGCGTGCTTTTACTTTGCTGTAGTTTTATAATTTCTAACTTTCTACATTTTTGCTTCACCTTCGTGCTTGCAGTGAATATTGCGAATGATTGTACTCTTTAAAGCACTAATATTTAGCATGTTATTTCATTGGCTCCATGTGAAAAGCTTGTTTGAGGTTGTTTAAATGCATGTCGTGGTGCTGCTGGGGTTTTTTTTGTGCTTCACCGATGCGATATGAAAATGTGTGTGATGCCGTTTTAAAATGAGTGAACAAGTTTGACATTCGGCAAAAAGCTTGTTGCTAGCCAGAAGCTGAGCTTCACTGGGGTTGTTTGCAGAGAAGGTTCGTGGCTAATTGCCCTTGTATTGGATCCCCATCATGTTTGTGATGGTCAATGAAGTATTGTGGCAACTTGGCAAACTTTTGCTGGCCTTGAGTTTGACACGTGCTATACAGTCGATGTTGCAAAGAATCGACTTTACTATTTTGGAGGTTAGAATTGTTTTGATCAGTGTAGTTATCATCTGGATCCAGCAGTTGGTACTGTACCTGTACAGAATGTAGCAATCATCTAAAATCCAGCCTCTTTCTGTACTGTTTACTGCTTTTCCTGTTGAGGACCAACCACAGTGTGCTAAAGACAGTCAATGTTATTATAATTAAGCCCCCCACACCCCCCAAAAAAATAATAATAAAAAGGAAAATGCATTCAAAAAAAATCAAACCCTAACAAACTACATCTCGCGTTACTAAAACTACAACTAAAAACGGCCTTTGTTTTCATCTTTGTCAATTAATATCATACATGAGTTTTCGGAGTCCGTTTTATTTTGGTAATTCTGTATGTCCGTACAAAAGAAGGAAGGTCAAACAGTCATTTGAGGATTGTAGTTTAATTTACGTGATTACAAAGTGCACTCTGTGACCCCTTAAAAATATACATCTCTCACAAACCTGCTCTAAAAAGTAATACTAACTACATAAAAAAAATAATTTAGGCCTTTTGTTTACACACAGTTGATGACATCACTGAAAATATGTTCATGTATTTTGCTTCATTTATCTTTCACTTGCATTTTTTTTAAAAAGTATTTCATCACCTCTAGAATAGCAAAATCCATAATGAATCCAAATGTTGCTTTTGCGATACTTACTTGAAGACACACTTTACCTTTTCAAGTTATTGATTGCCATCTGTCTTGGGTTTTAAAAGGTCAAACTGCATCTTTGTTTATTCCTTCCTGCTCTCTTGTCTTCCTGTTGATTTCACTTCTTCAGATCGGCGTGGGTGTGATTTGCACGGTTGTTCCGCGTAGTGGGTTTGAGTTGAATTGTCTGACAAGGCAAGATCTACATCAAAACTTCTGTCTGCCTTTTGACCAAACTGAAAAACGGTCAGGTTTGATGCTGTCAGAGAAGAACTAATGGAACAACATACACAATTTTTGTGGTTGTAGTTTGCTAGGGTGTCGAACTCTGAATTCTGAAACATTCGATGAAATAATGCCGGGACGATTATGGAAAGTCTTTAAACTATACATGATAGCGCAGTTTAAGGATCACATCTCTGTGACGAGTACAGAGTAATGTATCGTCGCTATTGTGTGTGTGTGTGTGTGTGTGTGTGTGTGTAAGAACAACATACACAGTTTTTGTAGTTGTAGTTTGCTAGGGTGTCGAACTCTGAATGCTGAAACATTCGATGAAATAATGCCGGGACGATTATCCACACACACGCGCACACTCGCACAAATGCATGCACATTTTGAACATCTGGCTCAGATGTGATCTGGAGTGTACTTAGTACCGTACCGTGTGGGCGGGGAAATAATGTGAGCTACGAATGTTTAGTTTTGCCACATGATAGCGCAGTTTAAGGATCACATCTCCGTGACGAGTACAGAGTAATGTATCGTCGCTATTGCGTGTGTGTGTGTGTGTGTGTGTGTGTGTGATCACCACCACACGCGCACACTCGCACGAATGCATGCACGTTTCGAACATCTGGCCCAGATGTGATCTGAAGTGTACTTAGTACCGTACCGTGTGGGCGGGGGAAATAATGTGAGCTACGAATGTTTAGTTTTGCGACGTTCCAAGAAACCTAAGCACATTTCTGGAGTCATTTTGAAAAGGCGACTGAATCGACTCAATTTGACTTGACGTTATTCGTCTGTGAACCAGTTTTGTTCACAAGATGTCATTTCCTTCCGGGTGCTGTTTGTACACACTCCAAAGCATCACCGTCCAATCAGACGTTATGAGCCCAACGCTGCAGGCATGTCATGTGAGCCGCGCGGATTACATCCTCTAATCTGCCCGTCATGAAATACCAACCATAAAAAAAAAAAGAGACGGAGTAACAAAACGGATGGATGGACGTTGAACATAAGAAGAGGCATCCCAAGACTCAACCAAAGCAACGAGTGTCAAGTGAGTGTTTTCACGCCGCAATGCATCCTTGCTTTTTTTTTGTCTTGTGCATTTAAGAGCACCGCTGTCGCGGTTTAAGCGAAAGGATGTGGTTGCAGGTTGTTCGATTTTTTTTTTTTTTTAACACTTTTCCATGTGAATGCACTTCCAATGACACGATGCATTTTCCCTGTAAAATGTCAATAAAAGTGTGTAGACAAAACTGTGGAGTAATGTGGGTAGTAAAGTGACTGTTTTGACTTTTTTTTGCAAATACGTTTTAAATATTTAGAATCAAACTGAATGTACTCTGCAACTTACTCCATAGTGTACAAGACGATGAGGTGCAAAGGAAAACCATGAGCAATTTATTCCGCGCGGTTTAGTGACATAGGTCAAGTGGGGCGCGTTTCATGACAATTCAGTGCTTGACTTAAAATATTAAAAGCATGACAGAGAGAGAAACAAAATATTCAGAAATTGCAACCAAAAAAAAGTAGCATAAAACATGTACAATAATTTGAAAGCTAGCATGCAAATTGAGATTAACGCAAGAGGAATAAGTGAATGCTGCAGGGTGCCACTCAAATTTCTTCCTCCAAAACTGTCACATGATTATAGCTTACTGAAAAACAAATATATATATTTTTTTACATCTGCATAAATTTTGATGCTAACTTGCCTTTGAGTGATTTATTTTCACCTTACTTTCCAAATTCTTTCATCTTCATCATAATCGTTCTTCTTTTACGTCAGAGTTATGACAGTTTCGCTTTCATTTTTCTGATAGGGAAGTCATCTAGCATAGCGTTGCAAATTTAATCTTCACCTGAAGCGGGAATACTTTTAATGCATGCTTTGTTTTCCCAGCTGTCCCCCGTTGGTGGCGCTGGGTAACATGGCCGAGCCAGGCACCAGGAAGAAGCCACCCTGGCCCGAACTGGATGTCCCAGTCATCCAGCCGACGTCTGATGACACGCAAACACAAAAGGAGGTAAATGCAAAAAGCTGGCAGCCAAGTGCTACTTTTTTTTTTTTTTTTTTTAGACAGGGCTGCGGCCTGACTAAATAAAGCTCTTCTTTAAACGTCAAAAATACAGAGGTGTGGTGCCAAGTCACTCCACTTATGAGCTTTTAAACAAAAGCACTGTCATTCCGCTAATTTTTTTGTTTTGTTTTGCGCTGACACGCAGACTTGGTGGCAGTGAACTGAGTTCACTTCAAAATAAGCAACACTTGGGCAAAGAGTGGAAAATGATTCAAAAGAAGCTGTTTGATCTCCACGCCCAGTTGAAGTTAACCATCAAGTTAAATGTCAAAAACCAGATAGCTAAGCCTTTCCATTCCCTAGCTTCATGCTAACACTATTATAATGTTGTGGTGCCATCACCCTGTCATCAATGTACTAAACACAAACGGTGCAGCATCACGCGTAGAGAGAAAACAGTACTCAGTCATACATTCTTTATCCTCCATGAGGAGCAAGTAATGTAGAATTTGTAGTCTTGAAGCCAGAGTTGAATGTAGCCTTACTTCACTTATTATTATTATTTTTCTTTTTTTATATGTACAATCAACAATGTATGTACTTACCCGGTCACCCGATGAGGGTTGTCGATCTGCTGTCAGGTCATCCATTTTTAAAATGCATAAAAATGTAAACTCTATCTTTAAACTCATCTCGA